TGAATTCAGCCTTGGATTCTCTCTTCCAGCTCATATTCTTTAGCATTTTCATCTATTTTAATGTACACGTTACTATTCTTGATTAAACTTGAAACATTTAGACTTCCGGATTACCCTTGATGAGTAGCGTCGACACCTAAGTCAAACTGCAAGCTGCCTTACGTACCTTCGTCCTTACCTAGGTAGGAATGCTCGCACGGCACACGTGGACCTTCCAAGCCGGTAGGGGCTTTCACCATCAATGCATGCGATGGCGTGTTCTGCCGGAATCCCTATTGGCGGCTAAGCTTGGTGGAGTCTGGACGAATCTGCAGCGGATGATGTCGCTGTGTGCCCATCAGCAATTTTTATTGGCTGTACTTAAAGCAGTGAGGTCCGCATCTGGAGAGTCTCCCATTAATTCCCCACTTATTCTTGGCATTAAACGACTCCTGCTTCGATATTTTGGAGGTTGAAGCTCTTACTGAGCGGACAATTGAGATTGTTAGCTTGTAACAGCTGGTACAGTAACGGAGAACAATTACGGAATACAATTTTCGGATAGAGGGCCATGAATCTCTTCTTTCAAGAGCTTTACTCTGCAGAGAGCGGAAATACTGCGGAGAAGATGCAGTGCTGATGGCAAACCATGGACCCGCCCGTCGTCATCTTGCGAGTATCTATGTAGAATTGCCAAACAGAGATTTCCCTTGTCTCTCCGGTAAACTTTGCTCTTACGCCTGCATCTTTGGTGGCCTCATCAGCTAGAATCAAGCGAGTTCAGGCGCATTTTTCTATTCGATGCATTGATAATTTCGAAATTCGAGCCCGGTTACTTCCTTAGCTCTATTTTCTCACTTTTACAGAGGTACAAGTACATCTTGCTTTTGCTGGCGATCAATGTGGGTCTCATGGCTCCCAATGGCTTAATTTTCAAGATACGTAAGGTATCTCCTCCGTATCTAGGTATGGAGTACATAAAATGTCTAGTTTAAAAAAGTATCCATAATTATTATTCTTATTTCCTTGTTCAAGAGCCGAAATATCATGACTTGATTGGAGAATCTGGAAAAGTAATCCTGACATTATTAATGATTTTCTCCCCTGTTCTCGAATCTCCATCTTGACGGCGTCAACGCAACCCTCCACCTTTTTCCTTTTGCTCTACTCTTTTAAATCATCTTCATCCCTTCTATCTATCTCTTCTCTACCTAACTTCCGGTTGCTTTTTCCTCCTTCGTGTTCGAACGCCTCCGCTGGCTAGAAGACGTTCCCCGGCTGGATCTCTCCCAAAAGCCACACTACGATTCCTTGTTTTATCAACTGCAAAATTCAGTTCCCCAACGTCTCTCTATCATTTTATTTCCATCGATTGCTTGTTCAGATTGGTTGCCTTTTTGATCAGTCTGGACAATATCTCTTCCAGCTTAGGCTTTGGGGGCTTTTTTTGTTGCGGATAGCTAGCAATTCGCATTCTCATCTCCGGATCACGACATCGGTCTTGGCTTTTCTAGATCTTCGCCTTTTCGTCTTATATATCTACCATCGACGCCATGGAGTCTGCTTGAATACACTCATCAAGACACCAACTGAGCCAATCTCATCCGTGGCACACGGCTACCTGTCTCCAGATCTGAAGGTCTCTACTCGCAGAACCTCCTCGTCAAGCCCTGCTGAGGTCTGGGCATACTATACCCTATCCTCCAGACATCTCCTGGTCCATTCGAACGTTTGTCTACCTACACAACCATCATGTCTGCCGATCTAAAAACCAAGATTGGCCACGGGCTGGCCAAAGGCTTAAGGATCAAGCTTCCCTATCGCGACCCTCTTGGTGCCAATGCTGACCCGGTGACCCGGGGCGAGTCCACGTTCTCCGTTGGCACCGTGGAAACCTATTCCTACGTCGAACCCGAGCCCACCTCGGCTGATTGGCTCAAAGAGCTCTGCCCAACTTGGCAGGATGTTGGCAACTACTTTTACAGACTTTTCCCTTTCTTGACTTGGATCACGAGGTACAATATGCAATGGCTTTTGGGAGACATGGTTGCTGGTAAGCAATCCCTCCTTGCTTCTCAACCCTATGCTTCTGTCTAATCGATTTTCAGGTGTGACTGTTGGAGCTGTGGTCATTCCCCAGGGTATGGCGTACGCGAAACTTGCTGCCTTGCCCGTTGAATTCGGTCTCTATTCCTCTTTTATGGGTGTCTTGATCTACTGGTTCTTTGCTACTTCCAAGGATATTACCATTGGGGTTAGCAACGCTACCTTTTGTTCCCTCCGCAGATTGGTGTGCTAACATCGCTTTAGCCCGTTGCGGTTATGTCTACGCTGGTTGGAACCATCGTCCTCAAAGCTCAGAAAGAGATCCCGGATGTGCCGGCTTATATCATCGCATCCGCCATGGCTATCATCTGTGGTGGGATCGTCTGCGCCATGGGCCTCCTCCGTCTCGGTTTCATTGTCGACTTTATCCCCCTTCCTGCAATTTCTGCCTTCATGACCGGATCAGCCCTCAATATCTGCTCCGGTCAGGTCAAAGACCTTCTAGGCGAGACTGCCGACTTCAGTACCCGAGATGCAACATACAATATCATCATCAACACCCTCAAGCACCTTCCCAGTGCCGGAATGGATGCGGCGATGGGTCTCACTGCCTTGGCCATGCTTTATATCATCCGCTCTGCCTGTAGCTTAGGCGCAAAGCGATACCCTCAGCGCGCGAAGACCTTCTTCTTCCTGTCTACGCTGCGCACTGTCTTCGTGATCCTATTCTACACGATGATCAGCGCCGCGGTGAACATTCACCGTAGGAAGCATCCTGCATTTAAGCTTCTGGGAACTGTTCCCCGAGGCTTTCAGCATGCCGCCGTCCCGGTCGTCAATGCCAGAATCATTAAAACGTTTGCCGGTGAACTCCCAGCCGCCGTCATCGTCCTTTTGATTGAGCACATTGCCATCTCCAAGTCGTTCGGCCGTGTCAACAACTATACCATAGACCCATCTCAGGAGCTGGTTGCGATTGGTGTTACAAACCTGCTGGGCCCGTTCTTGGGTGCCTACCCTGCCACCGGATCCTTTTCCCGAACTGCCATCAAGTCCAAGGCGGGAGTGCGAACTCCCCTGGCCGGTTGCATTACTGCAGTCGTCGTGTTGCTTGCCATCTACGCCTTGCCCGCTATGTTCTTTTACATCCCCAAGGCATCCCTCGCGGGTGTCATCATCCACGCGGTGGGCGATCTCATTACCCCACCAAACACCGTCTACCAGTTTTGGCGCGTCTCTCCCTTGGATGCGATCATCTTCTTTATCGGTGTGTTTGTCACCGTGTTCACCTCCATCGAGATCGGAATCTACTGCACTGTCGCTGTTTCCGCGGCCATTCTGCTGTTCCGCGTTGCCAAAGCTCGCGGCCAGTTCCTGGGAAGGGTCACTATTCACTCGGTCATCGGTGACCATCTTGTGCAAGGTGATGGCAAGTATGGACCGGGCAACGGATATACCCCCGCCGATGCCAAGGGCAACTTGCACCGCTCTATCTTCCTCCCTATCGACCACGCCGATGGAACCAACCCTGAGGTCGAAGTGCAGCAGCCGTATCCCGGCATCTTTATCTACAGATTCTCCGAGGGATTCAACTACCCCAACTGCAACCACTACACCGACTACCTTGTCCAGACAATCTTCCGGCAGACCCGTCGTACGAACCCCTTCTCCTACACCAAGCTTGGCGATCGGCCATGGAACAACCCTGGTCCTCGTCGTGGAAAGGAAGGAGAAGACCGGTCGCATCTGCCGACCCTCCGCGCTGTCATTCTTGATTTCTCGTCCGTCAACAACGTGGATGTGACCTCCGTACAGAATCTGATCGATGTGCGCAACCAATTGGATCTCTATGCCGCTCCCCAGACCGTGCAGTGGCATTTCGCCCACATCAACAACCGCTGGACCAAGCGAGCCCTGGCCGCCGCCGGTTTCGGCTACCCGACTCCAGCCTCCGAAGATGGATTTCACAGATGGAAGCCTATCTTCAGCGTTGCCGAAATCGAGGGCAGTGCCTCCGCCGCCGCGCTCGCCGAGCTCGTGAACAACCAGCAGGCCCACAAAGCGGAGCAGAAGAACGCTGACATCGAAGAGGGTCTCAAGGACAACTCGCATGCAACGGAGCGCGAAACCCACAGCATTGAAACCCCATCCGACCGCAGCAGTACTCATGACGATAAACTGCAGCGCGATCTGACGGAGAGCAAGGCGTACCGGAACCGCCGTAAAGTTGCGCTCATCCAGGGCCTGAACCGGCCGTTCTTCCATATCGACCTGACCAGCGCACTGCAGAGTGCATTGGCCAACTCGGAGCAGGACCTTCATGTTGATCCTGCGGAGTTGAATGCCACGACTGATGCTTGATTATTGCACCGTCAATGATCTCCCTGGTTGGAGTTGAACGCCGTGCAGCTGTATCTGGATTTCGATCTTGCCGCGCATTTTCTGTTTCTGTTTATCAGCGAGTTCGGTTTTGTCTGGGATGGATATCCCGAGGTATACCCATACAGTCTGGCTTTGTATATAGTCATAGAGTCATTGGATATTTGGATATAATATCATGTCAATGAAGACACTATCTCCAGAGACATCAACTTTTCGTTTTGTTCCTAGTATTTGCAGCTGAACGTGATTGTGGCAGTGCGCCAGCCTTCATACCGGGACAGGAGACACTTGGGACTGCGCTAAGACACCTATCGATCCACACACAGCCCGATTCGGCAAGAATAGAGTTGTCTGATTAGTGGTTAGAGACACTCGATTCTTCGTGTGGCTGACGCTTATCCAGGCTTCTATTTTCAAGAATACGAGAATTGCCTCTTTGGGAACCGAAGCACCACGACGGAATGGCTCTGGTGACAGAGACAACAGAGATGCTCGTCTATAAAATGATGTATGTCCTCTGCTTGCTTGTTCACCATATCAACTTCTCTTTCTCTTGATAGAAATCGACATAGACTGACTGCGCTTGCACTCCGATGTTCGCAGCCGCTAAGCACCTCTACAACAAGTCACGGACACGGTCCAAGTCTGGCGGAGAGAAAAAGCCTCTCTGCCAACACCGCTTACGACCGAGCCAGTCTGCCCCTGCAGCAGACGATGGCTTGTCTACAGAGCGAACCTCCATAAAGACAGAGGACCGGCACATACTCCCTCAGTCCGCCCCAGAAGATGACGGCCCATGCCACCTCTGCCAACAGCAGCGACGCCACGACCGCATCTACAGATGGAAACTCATCTGTGGCCTGACGCTCCCATATATCCTGAGCACGCTAGATCTCACGATCGTTGCCACGGCAGTCCCATCCATTGCATCGCATTTCAGTGCGTTCTCCCGTAGTCCTAACACTCACTTGCACAACGTACTCACCCGTACCAGACAAATTCGACGAACTCAACTGGATCGTCACCGCGTTCACTCTAACCTCGACAACATTCATCCCTATCTTCGGACAGCTTGCCGACGTATTCGGTCGGCATGCGGTGCTCCAGCTCGCCATGTTCCTGATGCTGGTGGGGAGTACGCTGTGCGCGGCGGCGCAGAGCTGGGGGATGCTTTTGCTGGGGAGGGCGCTGCAGGGGACGAGCTCAGCCGGGATTATGAATATCATTATGATCGTCCTGGCGGATCGGGTTTCGCTGAGAGAAAATGCAAGGAACAATTCGATTTTTGTGTTTGTGGGAGGGTTAGGGTACGGGGTTGGGCCGGTTGTTGGGGGGTAGGTTCTTTGGAGAGTCTTGACGATGGTGATGTGATGCTGATGTTGATGCGCAGGTATTTGACTGATGTAAGCCTGAGACTTGGGTTTTCGGGATCTCTGACTGATGAGAAATAGAGTAATTGGAGGTACTGCTTTCTGGTGCCCATACCGGTAAGTCAAGTCTTGGACGGCAGGATCTAGATCTTGGAACTAACCATGTACTTCATAGATTGCTTTCATATCGCATATCGTGATCTTCGTCCTCCTACGCAATGAGCTCGTCGAAGGAACCGTCTTCAAAAAGGGCTCGCGGACGTCTGCCGTGCTTCCAGCCCTGGCAACGCTGGACATCGTCGGGGCTGTCCTGTTCATCTTCGGCGTCGGCCTCATCATCCTGGGCACGGCCTGGGGAGGGCCGACATATCCCTGGTCTTCCCCCGAGGTTCTAGCGCCACTGATTGTGGGCGGCGTGTGCTTTGTGCTGTTTTTCGTGTACGAGTACTTCCTCGAGCCAGGCAGATTGTTTGCTCGGATTTTCCCAAAGCAGGTGCCCATGCTGCCGTACAGCATGTTCGCCAGACGCGATACGATTTGGCTTGCGGTTTTGGAGTTCTCCAGCGGAGCAGGTACTCATCTCATCTTTTGCTTCCTATGGTCCACAGGTACTGACGCAGGCGTTGCAGCTATGTACTCCGTCTTCTATTTCATCGGTATATATTTTACCCTAGTCGAAGCCTATCCTGCTTCGAAAGCGGGTATCAACCTGCTCTACTACATTCCAGGATTAGGAGGTATTTTCTCATGCTCCCTGCTCTAATTCCAGGATCAAAGCTAACAGAAAAAGCCGGCGTCTACATCGCCGTCTACCTCTGCAACGTCTACCCAGCCCAGACCTTCTTCACCATCAACACGGGCACCATCGCCGAAACCACCGGCTTCGCCCTCCTCATCTGGGCCATCAGCACGCAAAACACCAGCCTCATAAACGGGATGATGGTCCTCGCGGGCGCAGGCACGGGGCTGCGTCTCATGCCCATAAACCTGCACACGGCAGGCGTGTGGCCCGAGAAGATCGCCCCGGCGATGTCGCTGATGCGATTTGCGCTGCCGTTTGGCGGGACGCTGGGGTTGACGATTATGGGGAGTGTTTTCAACAATCGGTTTTCGAGCAAGAGCAGCGGGAGCGGGGATCTGGCCGGGCTGAACGTGCACGACGGGTCTTCGTTGGAGTACATTGCTGGTCTGCCTGGTCCGGAGCAGGAGGCTATCCGATCTGCGGGCAAGGAGGCGATCATGTGGGCGTTTATTGCTATCATGCCCGTCATCGGGTTGGGTCTTGCGACGGGATTGGTGATGGGTAATGTATGGATCAAGCCGGAGCGTTCGCGTCAGCGTCAGACGCAGGCTGGAACCGGGAGCGAAAGAGCAGACGAGGGCGGCCATAGCGAGGTCATATACGTTCCGTACCTGTGGGCGTTGCTAACGGTACCTTCCCCTTCCCTTTGGCCCTTCTCGTCGCCTTTTACAGTGAATACTGACAGAGACAGGGCAACATAACCACATACGAACACACCAACAAGCCCAAGCCAAGGCACGAAGAGGAAACGGAACTCCATCCCCTCCCGCAGAGCCAAGCATAGCATGGAGTAGCATAGCATAGAATATCATTCATAGCATAGAATATCATTCCAAATAATAATAATAATACACCACATCCAAACCCACCACCACACTATCCAACCCCTATCCAATCCAATCCAATCCAAAAGAAGACATCACCTCAAAACACCCCCAACACCCGCCCACCCAAGAATAAACCCGGACAGCGCCTCCCCAAGCACGCCCCCACCAAGCCACACATCCCTCCACGCGCCTCTCCTCCCTCCATTCCCCTTAACCAACCCCCTCCCATCAATCCCCGCGATCTCCCCCCCAACACCAGGGAAAAACACACCAGCCCCCTTCCCACCACTCCTCCTGAGAACAAGCAGATGAAACAATCCCGATACGAGCACCGTCCCGAGGAGATAAAACGCGAAGCCGGTGGCCGATTGCAGCGCGAGGATCCCGGCTGTGAGGCCTAGGAGGAAGGAGGTGAGGGAGTGGAGTTGGGAGAGGACCTATTTCTGTCAATACTACCGTCCAACCGGTTAGACAAGGGGGAGAAGGGAGACTAACTCTGTTATTGTGTTGGACGGACTCTGGGACGAGCGGGTTGATTAGCAGGGAGAGTTCTTGTTTCGTGGGAGGCATTTTCTGTTCTGGTTCTGGTTCTTTCTTTCGAGGTGCGGTCTTGCGTGTGGTCAACCCAGTTTGTGTTGGTATGTTATTGGCTGTGGATCTTTGATAATGATGTGGATATAATATATGGTAATGAGTGAGTGCTCGAAAGTGATGTACGTCTCTACCTCTGGTGAAGTGGTGGGGATATGGCAAGTTGATAGACGGAGGTTGACACCGCTGTCGAAGAGCTCCACCAGCCAATCACAATGCTTGTTACCTCATCTACCTACGTAGGTACTACAGATCAAGGAAATTGACTACACACAATCCATTACGCTTATAATAACTGCCAAGGACTGCTTAAATCATGTCATATTAATTGATTATGTGCATAACATAACAGTAGTAAATCAAACACTGCACATCCTGGTCAGACAGACCCGTTGCTTTCATAACCCGTTTCCAGAAATCGCCAGCACTTGAGACACAACCGGGCCTCTCAAATGCTGCACGCTCTGTTGATCCGTTGATCGGCTGCGTAATGCCAAAAAGGACGTCACAAAAAGTACATACATCTCTCCTTCCAAAGCTCATTCCAAAGAGATCGCTCATAGGTCGGATCCTGCCACTTATGCCAAGGCCAATCTAGTCAAATTAATGCAGTTGAGAGAATGTTAGAACGAAAAAAGAAATGACAGAAGTAAATCCGTGTCATCACGCAACGTTATCGAGTTTTCCTTCGGTCTTGGCCTCCTTGACTTGCTCAAACACCTGTGATCGTCAGTAAATACATCCTGTCAGTTCAAGGGTTGGGCGAGACAAACCTTGAGCATCTTGTTCCGAGCGCCAAGAGCGTTAACACCTCGATCCTCCAGAGCCTTGTCGTCGAGTTCAATCAGCTCGGTCCATTTGAGATCCTTGAGGTTATCCGTGTACTTGTGCAAGCGAAGAGACCTCAGCCAGCTGGGAATATCCTTCAGAAGATTCGGGTCGGTGGGATCCTCTGGCGGCTTGGAGCTGCCACGACGGCCCCGGGGAGAGCGGCCACGAGTGACTTCGGAATGATCAGAGAGGTAGCCCTCATGACCGCCGAGTCCAAACTGGCTGAGACCCAGAGCACCCAACCCATTACCCAGTAACGGATTGTTCGGGTCATAAGCCGCCAGGAAGCCATTGTTTTGCGGTGAGGTGAAGCCCATTGCTCCAAGCGCGCCTCCCTGCATGGCAATGCCTGGGGAGGTCGGGCGGGACCGTCGACCCGCCATCGCCGCGTGCTGTTGAGCTTGCAACGCAGCTAGCTGTTGGGCGTTCAAAAGCTGTCCCGCAACTAGATGATTCGCTCCCGGAAGACCGGGGCTTGCAAGTCCGCCTTGCGCCATGGTCTGGTTGACATTGGGGTGGGTAGATCTGCCCTGTCCATCGTTTGAGCGAGCACGGCGGTACTTGCGTGCATCATCCAGGGCGATGCGGTTGTTGACCGTCGACAAAGCGGCCAGCTTCATCGCGGTGGCATTCGCGACCATATCGGCCTGCGAGTTGGGCGGTTGGTGCACCTGCTGACCAAAGGTCGCTGTCATCGGCGTGTTGGTCATGGAGGCCCAGCTGGCATTTCCAACATTGTACGGCGACAGCAGGGGTGCCTCGATCTCAGGAGCGGGTATGGTGGCCGTCTGTGTGGGTAGCGGAGAACGCAGGCCCGACGAGGCCTGGCTAAACTGTCCCATCGGCTGCTGACCGGATGAAGACTTGGGTCGGGCAATAGGCGGTTGAGGCTCGTTACCTCGTTGAGCCCATGGCGAAGCGGGAGGCTGACCCAGGTTGTCTGTGTTGTCCGGGGCGGAGATGGTCGGTGCAATAAACGAGGACCGGTCGCCATAAACAGCGCTATTGCGGTTGGAAGGCGGAGCGTTGCCGGTTTGCTGCGTGAACTCGGCCTTCTTCTTGGCGATGGCCGCGGCCGCATCGGGGAACATGGCATTAATGGTCGAAGAGTCCAGACCCGAGTTGCGCTTGGCACCAGGGGACGGCGGAGGGCGACCCAAGGAGTTGCGGGAGCTGTCAATGTTCAACTTCGACATCGCGTCATTCAACCGGTTAGACATTGCGTCTAGGGAACAAGTCAGCCGCAAGTATAGGTCAGGAATCTAAGCAGCTCTACATACCCTTCTCACCAAAATTGGCAGGTGACAACAGCCCCGACATTGGGTGACTTTTGGCCATCTGCTGCAGGACCTGAATGAAGAATCGGATCTGCACCTGCGTAGTCTGCTGCAGCAGAGCATAAAGAGCGGCGGTTCTCTCGGCCTCGCTGAGGACGCGGAACCATTGTTCGATAGCACTCAGCTCATCCTTGAAGTCCTGGTCAAGTGTGGCAGCTGCCATCTCCTCCAGAGTAGTCTCGTATTGATCGATATCGGCGAGCCACTGCTGAGCCGCACGATCCAGTGGATCCTCCGCATTGTTCTGAGCCTGAGACTGCTGGTTATAGTACACCTCCGACGACGGGCGGATGCTGCGAGACGACAGCGGAGACGGGAAGCCCGACATATCGGCCGACGCGCGTAGCTGGTGAGAACCTAGGTTCCGAGAAGACGACGGAGGACGAAGGGACGACTTGGAGGCGTCCGGAGTGCTGTTACGGTTGCCGATAATGTGGCTAGCCATGAGGGCAATGGAATGATCGACGGGCGCGGTGATAGTGTAATTCTTTTTGGTTGAGTTGTTATAGCACTGGTGCGTGAAGAAGAAAGAAGTATTACTGCAAAACACCTGCAGTACCTGCTGAGTTTGCGCGAGAAAGAAACTCCAGACTTAAACGACAACGGAAAAGAGGCCGTATCACAATACAACAGAAGGTGGCCGAGAATCTCTCTAAGGATGGAGACAGGTTTTTGCAAATGGCGAAGAAACCCAACCGCGATAGCTCTAGGCGACAACGATCGGGGCACAGACCAAGCCAGTGGCTGCACTACTTGATTCGAGACTCTGCCGATTACGGATCGAACCGAAAGGGTATTCGAAGGATTTTGTTCAAGGATACGTGAGGTCTCGCGTCGGGGATATCGTCGTCGATAGGAGTTGTGCAAGGCGTAGCGGAAATATTATCAGTGATGATTTTGTAGTTGTAGGCTACCTTTTGGATTTTTTTTCGCGGTGGTATATTTTTGTCTCTCTTTTTAACGAAAGGATGTCAGAATCAACTGCAATAGTGTGTCAAACACAACAAACAGAGACCTGAATCATCAAAGGAAAAAGGAAAAAGGAAAGTGAGAAAAGGACGAAAGGGTGAAGGGAGAGGGAGGAGACTAGAGATGATGGAGGATGGAAGAGGGATGGAAGAAGAGAGAGAGATGGAGGAAAAGAAGAGACAGAGAGAGAGGAAGAAAGGAAGAGGAAGAAGAGTTTCCAGTTTGAGGAGACAGTCGAGGCTTTTTCCGGTTGGGCGCTTTTGGTCGCTTTTTTCCCTTGGGTCAGCCATCTGCCAGTCCAATGCCCAGGACTACTACGCAAGGAAGTTTCCATCGCTTCAAGCTGTGATCCTGGACTCTCCCGTATTTCTTTCATCTCTTTGAGACTTACTTTGCACCTTCTTCACGGCAATCCTTCATCTACATTATTGTGGTTTCATCAGTCTGGTGAAGTCCGAGGAATCTCCTGCCCAATCAAACCGCTCGCTTGCTGTTGGCAGCTCGCATGCTATAGATAGTGGGGATCTGTTGCTATGAATTAAGCTCATGAGGATCCTTTATGTCTTGCTTTTTATCCTCTTTTGAATCAACCTCGTGGAAACCAACCAGCAGTGTCTGCGTCGAAACGAGTCTGACGCGCCTTGAATTGTGTGAACCTGCACCTGGTCATCTCTGAGCTTATCATCACTGCTCTCCTGCGTTCATGGACTGCGTTTCATTTGATTTTCTCTGCAACGTCATAGATCCAGGTGGATAGTTCATATCGGACACTTTGAAGATGGAATATCCCGGTGATGGAAATGGGTCCGATCGTCCCCCTCAGTCTCAGGAGTCCGCCTATCCTGATATTGATGAGACGATGCAGTACCCTTGGCAAGGCACTCAGCCAGCCGTCGCGGGCGAATCCTCACTCCACTCCGTAATTGATCCTCGCCTTTACAAGGATCTGTTCTCGCAGAGCGCCTCGCAGCTACCTGGCCAGCAAGCTATAGATTACGAGGACGAGGAGGATGCACAGGAGTATTCGCAAATGGATGACTCGGCGGAGGACTCCACTTATGATTTTTCAGCAGAAGAATCTTCAACGTCAGTTTGTTCATCCGAATCGCCTTGGCCCTGATTACTGACGTTTTCCAGGGAAGAGGAGCCTTCAGACGTAGATGAGAATGCGGCAGAGGAAGGCGATGATGATTCGGTCGGTCGGAGACGACGCCGCAGAAGAGGCACGGGGCCCTTTTCTGGACGATGGGGCGCCCGTGGTGGGAAAGGAATTAAGAGAGGACCTCGTAAGCCGCTGGAGCCCAGTGCGGAATTCAAGATGCTACACTCGGAGGCTACCTCGGCCTTTATCGACGGCGACTATGAAACTGCTATTGACCTTGTGAAGCGTGCGATCCATATCAACCCTGAGATGTTTGCTGCCCACTCGCTGCTGTCGGAGATCTTTCTAGCGCAGGGTCAGAAGGACAAAGCTCTAACAGCGCTGTTCAGTGGCGCTCATACGCGACCCAGGGATGCATCGGTATGGTTCAAAGTAGCGCAAATGATACTTGACCGAGCCGGTGATGATCGTCCAGCAGCCCTGAACGATGTCATCTATTGCCTGAGTCGTGTCATTGATATTGAACCCAAGAACTACAATGCGAGGTTTCAGAGAGCTGCAGTCTACCGAGAGTTGGGCCATAACGGCCGGGCTGTCACCGAGTACGAAAGAATCCTCAAAGAACTCCCGCATAATCCAAGGGCTTTACGGAATTTGGCAGAAGCCTACATTGATCTCAACGAAGTTCAGAAGGCTGTAGAGCAGTGGACGGACAGTGTTGAGTACTACAAATCCTTTGAGCCGGAAGATGCTCCCGACTTTTCCTGGTCCGATGTCAACATATATGCCGAATTGTTCAGCTATCTAGGCCGATATGAAGAAGGATTAAAGGCTCTTAAGTCTGTCTCGCGATGGCTTCTTGGTCGCCGAGATGATAACATGTGGGAAAATTTCAACGAGGACGACCGCGAATGGGATGCAAACGATTCTCCTAGGCGCATCAAAGTCGATGGTTATATTCCAGGACGTTGGCCGCGAGATTCGTATGGATTGGGCCTTCCTCTTGAACTTCGGATCAAGCTTGGTCTATTTCGTCTGAGGATGGGCTATGATCACAAGGACGAAGCTCTGGTAAGTGCAGAGGATCAACGCCGCTTGTGGATCTCAGATCATTCTGACCAAGTCACAGCATCATTTCTCATGGTTGAACCCGGAAGATACCTCCGAAGGAGCTAGACTCTATGACTATGGCGACCTCTTCCGTGAGGTTGCTGATGCGCTCAAGGAAGTTGGTTTTTTGGGGGACGCGCTGCGGTATTATACGCCGATCCAGCAGACTACCGAGTATGCCGACATCAGCTATTTCATGGCCATGGGAGACTGTTTCATGCAGTTGGGCAACATTGAAGAAGCTGAGAACTGCTATCTCACGGTGGCAGAATATGATGCAAGAAACATAGAATCCCGTGGACAGCTCGCAAAGCTGTACGAGAGCATCGGAATGACTGAACAAGCGCTGAAGTACGTCAACGAAGCCGTCCTGCTTGGGCGACAGGAAACCAGAACTCATCGCCGGAGAAAGGATACACGGTTGGAACAGCTCGCGCTGGAGTTCAGAACCGAGACCGACCCGGAACTAGCAGGTCTGAGAATTGCCGTACCGCCTGAACATGCTGAAGGACTGGCTCCGACGCTTACCACGACTTCGGTAAGTGCTACGAGGAAGAATGTTCAAGAAGTGGAGGCAGAAAGGACAGAGCTTGTCCAGTTTTTGTATGGCAAGTTGCTGGATATTCAACCAAGGGTCAAACAGGGCAATGCCGAAGCCATTGAGGACTGGCTCGACATCGCGGATGCTTTGCTACGTGAGTTTCGCTCCAATAAGGTGTTTTATCCTTTCCAACGCAACATCGTCTTTCTGGGTTATTCGAGGGAAGCACAAAGGAAGGCGGGAAAGTATAAAAATCGTACTCTCATGGATGAGATGCAGGAAATGGCAAGTCGTCTTCAGGAGTCTTTAGGTATGTAGAAAAAATGCGCTGTAAAAGACATGATCCGGCTTAGCTTACAGTTACAACAGGCACGGTTACCGAAGAGCCTCTCCAGGATGCTGTACCAACCGACTACCATGGTATCAGCTTCGATGAGTGGCTGGATTTGTTCCTGCAATACGCTCTTGTCGTGTCAGGGCAAGGGGAGCCTGACGAAGCCTACGATAGTCTTGCAGCCGCTGCAGATGCCAGTATTTGGTATCACTCGAAACCTTGCACTCGCCTGATACACGTCTGCTGGTTTAGTGAGTTGCCCTTGGCAGCTTGGTCTCGCTCGGTGGTATACTGACCCGTACAGCATGTGCCCTGAGGGCGCAGGACGAGGAAACTCTAGCAAATGAAGCACGCTGGTTCATCAAAGAGTATCAATTCGTCACAGACACATATCGCTTATTCTCCATGCTGAGCCGTCTCTGCGGCGACCCTCACCGGTCTCTCTTCCATTCCTCACCGAACATGAAATTCATGCTACGGCAGATCAAGGCCATGGACTTCTCCATCCCAGATGGCCCCAATGACTCCAGACCCAGCAAAGCAGTCCGCGAGTCAATCTACAAAGAGCGTGCGACGCTTACCACACGCGACGAGTCAGGCGAAGCCATTCCCGCTGACCAACTGGACGTTGCCCTGCTCGTGCTATACGGCCACATCCTATATTCCGGCAACAGTTTCTACCCAGCTCTCAACTACTTTTTCCGCGCATACGATCTCGACGACCAGAACCCTGCCGTCCTCCTCTCCATTGCCCTCTGCTACATCCACCACTCGCTCAAACGTCAGTCCGACAACCGCCACTACCTCATCATGCAGGGCCTTTCATTCATGCACGAATACCGTCGCGTTCGCGAGCGAAAGGGAAGCCTCCTCCAGGAACGGCAGGAAATGGAATTCAACTTTGCTCGCGTATGGCATCTACTCGGCCTCGCGCATCTCGCCATCGAAGGGTACCAGCGCGTCCTGGCGCTTGGGGAGCAGATCCAGACGGAATCCCGGGATAAGGTGTCTCAGCCGCTGACCACGAACACGGGCCCAGCGGACGGTAGCGATGCTGTAATGGAGGATACGGACCATCCACGGCCAAATGGGATTCCGTTCGTGGAGGACTTCTCGCGCGAAGCTGCCGTTGCGCTGCAGAATATTTTCGCGTTAAGCGGTGACCTGGAGTCAGCGCGGGAGGTGACGAGTAAATTCCTGGTAATATAAGAGTCACCTCGGAGTCCATGAGCGAATTGTACTATACTGGTTACTATGACCGCAGCAACGAACGTTATAATATCTCCCAAGTCGGCGCCGGTGCCTGTGATATACACTGATTTGCGCCATGTTTCAGTGCTGTTGACAATGCTATCTGTTGATACAATATGCCTGATATTGTGCTATTCCTGAAAATTGGATAAATATCGTCATCTTCCCGGTCCATGTTTTTCTCCAAGTACGAGATAAATATCTGCCTTGTACTTCTACGTGCAGGTGGAAACTGTTACTTACCACGAAGCATTATCAGTGCTACGCCAGCTACCTATTTCTCAAGCTACTGCATGACATGTGACAATACACACAATTCATTTCATACTAGAACCAAGTATCAAAACAATATATCAATGAGCATGACAGCAAGGTATCAATCGATGATGAAAAATGATATAATACAAGAGGGAACCGATCTACTCTACGGGGTATGTCATACGCCAACGTCACGCAGTATGTTCAAAAGAAAATGACACTAAGCGACAGGGATCCCTTCGCCCTTCGCGAAGATCCCCGAAGATCGACCATGCATGGTGACCTGGCGGCCGCTAACACCGTTGCCGACTAGCCACCAGCCATCCATGCAGGCATCCGGAAACAGAAATCGATGATGGAATGGGAAGAACAGGGGACAGGGGACACTCTATGTGGCTACTGCGTCCTCATCGGCGTACATGTCGGAGTCGTCAAAGAACACGGCTGACTGGCGCCGCATTTCCTCGAACATGCTGCTTCGTCGCGCGTCTGGGGTGTGCGGGCGGGACGAATTTGCAGACAGGCTGTCTGAGACCTCTGTGTAATGTGACTCGTCTTTGTAATCCGACTGGCGCTCAGGGAGGCTCTGGTCGAGACGCTCAATCATCCGGTCTGCATGTTCCTGTGCACGGTCCTGGCGTCGGCGAGATAGAATCGGTGACATCACCCTTCCTCCGCCGGGGGAACACTGTTGCAGACCCTGCATGATGGCGTTTTCGATTTTGAGCCTGTTCTTGATAAATTGAATCTTCGGGAAAGTGCTTTGCTTGCCCGCGTGAAGCATGCGTGCTAGTCGCTCTGGGCTGGGGTCCGATAGTATATGGTAAAAGTCGGAGGGGATGCTCTTGGGCCAGATCGTGATGGTGCCGCTGAATTTCTGCAGCCAGATCTCACTCCAGTCCTGGCCCATTGGCCGAGGGAGGAGCTCGAGATGGCGGAGAACTCTAAGCCATTTATTCATATCGAGTTTGATATATTGTTCGATCGCGGACCCCAGAAACCCTCCGCGCCACCCGCGGCCTTTACGATGGGTGACAGGCCGGCCAACGGATCCTCGGGAATTGAAGAAGAAGAGGTTGATATGCGGATTGACCTATCCAAATGACTTCGTTAGAAGATGTTACTAATGACACAATGCAAGCAGAACTTACCTGTGATACTATTGTAAAATTTACGTTGAAATGCAGATTCAAAGCCTTGATAGGTATATCCGTCCGCAAACTGCCGTCCTTCCACTTGTGTCCGAAGGAATACGGAGCAAGTGTTCCATCACGCTTCTTGGTCATTAGAACAACCGGGTTGACAATACCAGGCACTGCCGCGGACGCAAGGACTGCGCTCCAGATGACACAATCAGGCGAGGTGAGATAGTTTGCTAGGATCGTCGGTGAATGAGGGTCAGACGGAACACAGGAGACATTCAATATACGCCCTGTTCTCTCGTAGGCTTCTCGGAATGTAGTCGAGCCCCTGCAAAACCAGCTGCACTGGCGAGCCCAATCCAGAGTGTCGAACCTGGCCCCCGTTCGCCACCAACGCCGTACCCACGTAGTAAAGCCCTCGTGACACGCCCTGATCCTATGAGCCAGAGCCGGGATGAGCAGCTGTTTCAGTTCCTCGTCAGTCCTAGTAGCGACTAGAGCGGCAACCAAGGCTCCTCCTGACGTTCCGGTAATGATCTCAGGTAAGACGTCGTTATCGAGCAGCGCCCGGATCACACCAAAATGGTAATAGGCAAACGTGGCGCCGCCAGACAGGCAGAGAGCCGTGCGACCGAAGTTGGTGTCCAGATGCTTGAAGTGCTGATACTTGTCCTCATTTGGAATCTGTTTACTATCCAGGACTAGCCGGATACAAGACTGGACTTCGTCAATGTATTCCTGCACGAGATCTTTCGTCCCTGAATATGTTTCACTGTAAAGTCGAGGGTTCTCCACGCCTGCGAAATTGTTCTTCACGCACGCTTCCAGCAAGAAGCAAAGCTCTTCGACCGCAGGCGGATCACTCACGCCTGAGCGTCCATTCTGCATCTCCGTCTCGGCTGCCTTTCTAGCCTGCTTCAGCTGTGCAACTACTTTATTGATGGTAAGATGGTCGTAGTATGCATATTCGTCCGTTTCCTTCCACTTGAGATTTCCGAGGTAAGTATCGAGGGCCTGTGCTGCTTTCAGCCAGTCTTGATAGTTGGTTTGCATGGAGAGCTCTCTCCTGAGTCGCTCCCTCTGGCCTCTCCATGTCACGCATTGCTCATATAGGAAGATATACAAGCGCGTCAGTGTATATGCGAAGCCGAGGACCGTAATCCATGCGAAAACCGTGAAGAGGAATGGCCACTTCAACACCGTGTAGAGCACACCTTCTCGCGTCTCGTCTTTGCTTCTCCGCGGTTTCGTTCGACGATTTTTCCGAACTCGTTGATTGACTGGACGCCAGTCATTGAGCGCAACGAGAGGAGCCGCTTCGGGGGCATTCAGCGCCTTCTCGAACTGCCGGAGTTCATCCGGGTTGATAAACTCCCGGTCATAGTCGGGAAGCGTATTGGGATCGTATATGTCGCGAGTGGCAGACTTTTCATCCGATGTCATTGTTGGAAATCATTCATAATGGGTCGATAGAAGGAAGAGGAGACGTTGCTGAGATGTTGTCCCCAAGCCTGTTTGCAAGCCGCAACCAACTGACTTCGACGTCAGATGGTGTCACCGCCCCACGTATCAGCAAGCAAGCCACAATTCCATCTCCAGATTAGTGGGTGGGCTGTGGCTAATAGAACCTAAGCTTTTCTGGGACTAGTGCGGGTAATAATTTCGAATGACTAATACTAGACGGAAGAAGATAACATCCCCGCTCAGCGACGGTCCGAAACACAGGACCATGGGCCTGTCACTTTAATGCTTACAGGGGCGAGGACAAGAGCTCAGATAGAGACAGACCGAAACCCTGGACCAAACAGCGGAGTACCTAGAGTATCGACCTCGAAGTTGTTCTTTTTTTTTTTTTTGCGTATGGACGGTTCATAGGCTATCTGCAGCTTGCATTCGCTCTCTAGCACCAACTGAACGCTCCAGATGACGAACACCTTAGTGATTGCAATACAGGATAACTAGCATTCCGCTCAGCCATCTATTCCCCTCAATCAATGCCAGGATGACCAAGGTGTTGCCTCACACACTTGATACTTTTCCGAAACTTCAGCAGGTCCATGTTAGCCACCTTCGAAGCGTTTGCTGCGCATGTCTGATCTGTATGGCCAAAGATGCTGATAGATCGACATTGCAGAACGCAACCCTGACAGATCTTTACCCGTATTGCGCTTGATCTTCGAAGCCAAAGCGTTGTGTGCAAACGCCCCTATATCACGTGTGCGTACACTTGGCAATGCATTCCACACAAGTTACCCCGGATCTTGCCTTCTAATCTGGGCTCATTGGAATGCACCCCTGTACTCGCACACATTCACAGCCCACGCGATATCCAAGGCAATGCGCATGTCTAGGTAACAGATTAGCTAGCTTTAGAATGCGTGGCTTGAATGGAGTACTACTCCGTAACCATCATCAAACAAATTCCAGCAACGGACAAGTACCTAATTGATAGCCAGCCATACAGTCGCATACATACCATTGGTTACCCCAGCTTTAGCCTCCGACACCAAACAAAGTGCGCGCTTCAGTCAGCCATTTGTAATACATGGCTATGTTTTGAATATGACACCGCCTATGAGGGGTCTCTCCATTCGGAAGAAGAGAGCCATCCGCATCAACAAAGCACCGCAGCATTAGCGGCCCAAATCTCAACCATGTAACCAGCGTTTACGTAGTTTACGCAGAATACTCTATAATGAGGAAGAAACATCTTCTTGAAGAGTTCAGCGGGTCAACAACACTGATCGGCAAGACTGAAATATCAACCAAGCCTCATACATCACCCTCAAGCATTGCGGGATATCTGAATGTGGTACTCCGAAAGAAAGGAAATTTTTCACTGGCGGGACTCCCTCTAGTGCAAGGCGAAAAGCATACCCTGAAAGAACCACTGTTATACACTGAAGATAGCGATGGTTCGATCCGATAAGATCGGCCCAAGAATGTGCTATGCTTACTGGCCCGGCTCAAGCATCATCGAGGCGAATGACTTGCAGCTACGTACTGCTTGATATCCTGCCTAGCGTTGCAGACACGACCCCGCTGGTATAAAGTAGGTACATAGCGTACGGTGTGCCAACAATTATTCCTATTGACGTAGGTATGGACATCCTTGAGGAAACGGCGGTGGCGATTGATACGACAACTTAGAAATGGAAGGAATTGACTCTAATGTGTGCCCTTGGTCGATGCAGCATTAGCGTGCTCGATTTAGCCTGCTCAGCTTGCTGCCGCTTCCACAGGATGCTGGCCGTAAATGAGCCCCTCTAATGAGGACTGGAGAGGCCTTGAGAGGCAGAAAAAGAAAAGTGTCCTGGTCGTGCACTTGATTTGTTCCACCTGGCTTTTACTCAGCTATGATGCTGAAAGGATCGAAGTCCGACACATAGTATCCAGAAGTCCTCTGCCGAAGCTCGAGTTCATAGAAAAGAATCAATACAGTCATGCAGTTTTCTCGTCCGTACCTAGAGTGTACTCTGTTTACATCAGGTAATTCAAGTTTATTCGCTTAACGCGCGATAGGCGCTCGGGGTCGAGAAATACTACCTCAGACACCAGGCGCCATTAAACTCTCTACTTTCCAAACTGTTACTAAAGAAAGGACAATCACCTTGCCAGAAACAGCAACCTGCATGGGTCTTAATCTTAATTGTGCCCTCCCCTCTATGGAACGGCCGCATCGCCCAATCGCACTCGTGATCCGGCCTGTTACGCCGGATGCCTTCCTCTTTCTGACTCGTGCATGAAGATCGGTCCATTTTCATGGCCTTGGTATGATGGTATGTGCACGAATACATATGTACATACCACTAGTCGGCGCCGAATCTTTGCTTGGCGCTGCGTTCATACATCATGGGAGTTGACCTATGAATAGTCGAATAGTATGCACTACCCCGTCTGCTGAGTTACGGCTTAGAGGCGCACTGCGCACAATGCACAGAGCGTATGATCGCCATGGTGGATTTAATTGGCACGAGAATCGCTCCTCGCGTAAGAATCGCTGATCATTCGGGCGGTTGACCGCGGTGGAGAGTCGTCCCCCCCACAAGAAAAAAGGAAGCCGTCAGATCTTCGCTTCCTGAAATGGTAGGTTATGTACTCCGTAGTTGCAAATGCTATCCAAGTCTCCATGTCCGGCCCGGTTTCTCTTCATCAGAGCGGGTTGTAGTAGGACGGATTTCCTCCGCTCAAGGGATGATGTTTCAGTAACTTGGATTACGGGATTCAGTCATATGTCATAGCTTATTCTTTTGAGGTCATGTGTAATTCTCCCCGACGAAATTTACAAGGGAAAAGAATGCAATGCGCTGGTCTTCCAAGCCTTGAATTTCTTCCTCATCCTTTCCCCTTACTGCATAATGAGCTTTCATGCAGAATGCTCCTACATCGGAGAACGAATGGGAGATTAAAACTCCAAGCATCATTGCCGCCAAGATCTTTTTCCCCGTTGCCCAGGGGTCCGCGTAAACAAGAGATCAACACCATACTCCCAAGATGTGAAATGTCGATAGTAACCTACCTGCGAAGGCCGCGTATCCTCCAAAGATATTGGTATTTGTGGAAGCATACCTTAGCTATCCATCAGAAACTTTCGTAGAATATCTCCATGAGCGAGCTTCGCTTACTGCGGGTGCATCATGCTGTAGCGATACCTCGCAATCGCTTGCGACTGACTCTGCGGTTGCAAACCATGCTGTCAATGACCTGCTCTCATGAATGGACCACCAAACTTTTCCCCCAAGCAAGGAGCTCAAGGGATGCATCACTTCTGAAACACTATTTAATCGGTTCATCCAGCAACCTGAAGTTTTTCGGCAACATTTGTTTTCTAAAAAGGCTCATGAGTGCCTTTGATCCACGTACAAAGACTCGAAAAATTTGATACCGGTCAGCTTAGAGAGCTGTGGCCAATACAGCTTCTTGCAAGACGTTTCCGGCGATCACAAGAACGTGGGCTTTCGTATGGTATGAAGCTGACAATAACAAGACGGGCATTATGAAGAGGATGGCAAGGAACCATGGATCAATTTTTTTGATGGTATCCGCCCTCTTAAGTCAAGGAGGGTGGAATGGTCGTAGGCAAGTGGTGTGAGGATGAGCGGTGTGACTGACAGCGGGGACAATTATATCTTCAACTTACCTATGATGAGGCTTTCCCCAACACCAAGGGAGTAAAAGCTAATGTACCTGATACTAAATCGAGGATATGCAATGCAATGTGATCTTGAGATTTTCGAACTAACAACTTTACTTGGTAAGCATCTGAGTCAAGAAGGGTTCATCTACGGCATCTTTATGGCCGATGACAAGAATGACCACCAGCCACAATCGGGTCATTTGATATTGAAAAGACAAGGAGAAAACAATACAACATAATATTAAATGCACCACTTGAGCCTCTTCAGAAATGTCAAGGTCAATGCGAGGTCCGAGTCCCAGTGATATTTGCGTATGCTGAGCAATCCAAGGAAAGTTTTAGATAAGGAATTCCATTATTGACAGGTGTCTTGGTATCGACTATACGGGATGCGGAGCAGCTTCAAAGTTTCCCATTCTCATCAAAATGAGGCCACTAGTGTATGGTCTTTCTGTAGGCTGATTTCTTTGCTTTTTCTTCTGTACCTACGATGATCCCCTTGTCCTTGATGCCACCTCTAACACTCTTTAATTCCGTCCTAATTGCTTCACTGCCTACCTGGTGTTCGTATCTAGAGCTTTCTTGGTAAAGTGTTATGTAGGTGACTGGGTCACGCCTGTGATTCGTCCACTGCACATATACTTGCATGTCCACTAGGGCGCTATCAGCTGCACGCTGAGATCCCTCCAACCAATCACAGCGGGGCGCTCAAGTACCACAGACCGCAGTTGCATCGTAAAATGTGGACCATAGAGCAGCACGGGTCAAGCGAACGCTAGGATTCGATACCTACCTCCAAATCGAGGTCAGTAGGGAACGGGAGTGACTACTAGTAACAACAATAACGCAAGTCGAAAGACTTTTCACCCAACCGGTATCTTTGTTGAGCTTGCCTAGGTTGAATCATGTGGCTGTGATTGGAATAATTACTCATGATCAGCTCCGCAGTCGTCATACTTTGTGTACACACACACAAAGTGTGCCCTTTCAAGGTTTGCTTATTTGATTGGACTTTGATATCGAAATTGATAACGTTTTGAATTCAAGGTCGGGGATCGGGATACCCGCTCCCTCAAGGATTCGGAGAGATAGCCCACTATTTTCACAGAGCCGAAGAATGATGGTTTCTGGTTCCTCTGGTTTAGGTGGTACGTTAAAATAACTAAGGTTATGACCGTGGGTAATTGGCCGTACCAAAGGTTCGATAATATGGATGAGACATTATTTGATACATTCGAGTGCAATGTCAGGGCAAATAGAAAGATAATGTATCATAGACGGCAATCTGCTGGAGATCACGAAGTAG